TCGGATCTACCAGAATAAAAATAATATCTGAATTTCTATCAAATCCTCCCAATCCCTCCCAATTGGTTAGCTGGCCGGCTCTGTTGTGATCGGTCAACCGCTTAGAGTTGTCCTGCCTTTTAGCAATCACGTACAATGTGTTGGAGCGTAAGCAAATAGAAGCGCAAGTTTTACCTATTGATGTCACTATGTGACTGAAGTGAACAAAGGAGACCACCATGCATGAACAGAATTGCAATATCAACATGTGTTGTTTCAAACATTTAAATGCTTGAACAATCTCTTGACAAACAACAGCGTACTCAGCTTTTTTTTGCAGCATCTACTGCCATAGTGCATGTTTTCCAATGTGGCACAGGTTTTTAGATCGGTTTCTGTACGGGCAAAACCTGGCAACATCACAGTGACAACACAAAAGTAGCCACTGCGCTTAGCATTTAGGAAAAGTTAAATCACATAACTCGATAAAGTGTTATTGAGCTTTGCAGTTGTTTGGAGAGAGTAAGGCTGCAATCCTTACTGCAGCTTGAGTGGTATGAAACTTCATATCTAACTTGGAAAGAAAGAAAACAAGCTATTTCCCAAAAACATGTAAAGGCCAGAAGGTCAAAATGTGAGAACTTGTTGCTTGTAGAGGCTGATGAGACAGAAAGAGGGGTGAGTAAAACAGACAGAAACAAAGCAGAGAGGAGAATAAGGAGCGTATCAAATGAACCTGACACTGTAACTGAACCGCAATCTGTCACTGAAGACACAGGAGAAAGTGGGTGTCAGCTGCCAAACATTCTTTATCCTGAAACAATCCAGAGCAGAGGAACTCACCAGCGGATAGCCTCCGATGAATTCAACAACGTAGACCGATTTAAAAAGCAGTGAGTGTAGGAATGAAATGGATGGTATCAGATGACAGCGGGAATAATAAAGTGACATGTTTACAGGAGACAGATCAGCAGGCTGGCAGCTGTCAGACGCTCCCTCAGGGAAGACATCTTACCTGATGATACGTTTAAATCAGTATTTGTTGGGTATTTAAAGGGCCCATGTCATGCTTTTCCGGTTATTACCCGTCCCCTTGTGTGTTATGAAGGTTTTTATGCATGTAAACGGTGTGCAGAGTCAAAACCCTCAAAGTACACCCTGTAGCGAGTAAAACTCTAACACAGAAAATACCTCCCCAAAACGCCTCGTTGGAGATACGTCACTGCCCATTTGAGTCTTCCATTTAGTTCCGGGTACGGCATGATGTCATGCGGTACCCGGAACGAAATGGACCAATCCCGAAGAGCTATGGCCACACCCAGCGGCGCTGGCCGCACCCTCTGCCAGCCTAACATTTACTGTTGGAAGCTCTGGTTCAGTTCACAATCGATCCAGTCATGCCAATGCCAAGGACCTGTTTCCTGAAATGTGAGGAGAAATCTGAGCTGTTTGTCCTACCGACGGAAGAACCACGACGAAGTCAGTGGTTGAAATTTCTTTTTAACACTGTTCCTTCAGAGGTTCGAAGAACGTTACTGTGTGCGTGGCATTTCACAGACGAAAGCTTCCAAAACATTGCCCAGTTTGAGGCCGGATATGCACAGCATTTGAAACTGAAGGACGATGCTATTCCTAGTTTGTTTGGACCGTTTGGAGCAGGGGAAGATTCGGGTACACAACCTGTAAGTTTGCATTGTTATTTGTGTATTTATCAAACAAGGTATCTACCACGACTGTTTAAATGTGTAAACATGTTTCGGACTGCTAAGCCAGTGCTAACTGTGCTAACTAAGTTGCTAGCGTTTCCATATCAACTCTAATATCAGCAGATGGCCTTACATACATGTATCTCATAGCAGGAGAATGTCTGCATTCACACACGAAATACTCATAGACAGTATACTCCAGGTGATTTACCGTACGGTCAGTCGCGAAACGTAATTACATTATAGCTGGCGTTCCGAGCGTGTATGCTACCGAGCTAAACAACAAGGCTACTAAGAGCTAGACATGAGTTTGCTCGGAAAAACATTGTTTTTATGCCAGCTACAATGAATGTAGCAGACTACCCATATAAGATTGCAATTGTAAACATGTGCTTGATAGCCTAATATGAACCACTATCTGTTGTTCATAGTATAGTATAGCATATTGAACAACTGAACAACTAGCAAACGTAGATTAGCATTGTAATCCAGCTGGCAAGCTGACGAACATCAAACAACTAAGTTTATTTCACACTTCCAGCAGAGATAACGGGGAAATCCCCTCTCTTTGCCCGCTCACAGACCCCCAAAGGACGGCCTAGAGACCTCCAAGAGGTGTCCCTGAAATGGGGACTCTGTTTATTTCACACTTCCAGCAGAGACAACAGGGAAATCCCCTCTCTTTGCCCGCTCACAGACCCCCAAAGGACGGTACATTACAGTTGGCTTTCCTCCGACGCTGATAGCATGTATAGCTAACGAGGCTAGCTATACATGCTAGCGGGAAACATTGTATTCATGCCAGTTACAATGAATGACCGAACGTAGCAGACTACCCGTATAAGATTGCAATTATAAACACGTTATTGCTAGCCTAATATGAACCACTAGCTTTTGTTCATAGTAGTTTTATTACACTCCATTATAGTTGCCGTTCCTCCGAGCTAACGTTCATATCGTGTTTGCTAACAAGGTAAACAAGATATCTAGGTTAGCATATTAGCTGGCAAGCTTACTGTGTTCATTAGATAGATGGATTAGATAGATCCACACTCCTACCACAACTACTACTAACGAATCTAAAACAACTAAGTTTCTCTAATATTTTGTGATTTGCATTTGATTTCGTCCAGCCAGATCCTGCCGGACAATACATGACGGGGACGGGACTACCACACTGAGGCCTCGTCCTAAAAAGCCCCGGCTGCGATAGGCAAGATGCCGACAACGGGGAGGAATGGATGATATACCGTGTATATATGTATATTTATGTTCATTTTGTACATTTCTAAAAATAAAGTTTGATGGAAATACTTAGTAGGCCTATCCTTTCTTCCCTGAATTATTTGCTCCTATAACATATCATTCATATATAGCAAACCATGATTTGATTTCTCATCAAACAGTAGTAGTTTATTACAGGTAAAAATAACGTACTCTTCTATAACAACAGTTGTAGGTACAGTTCGGTTAGTTAGCGTATAAAATATACGGCTGTACCGACGCCATTATAAGACTGATGTTCCGAGAGCGAGCCGAAAAAAGCACTGTTAGACATGGGCGGAGCCTCTCTGGTGGTTGACTAATCAGAACAGAGTGGCCGAGCTGACCAATCGGAGCACACTAGGCTCACAGAGAGGGGGGGGCAAGAGCTCCAACGAGTCGTTTAGTGGAGAGAGTGAATACTGCTGAATACACATACTTTACAGAGATGCTGTATGCGAAACCAATGTGAGTTTGGAAAATTGCACAGTATAAATCTATTTTAGTATACCTCAACAATGGAATTATGATCAGTGGAAATGGCCATGACATGGGACCTTTAATATCAAATATTAAATAGTTAATTCATCATTGTTGCGAGCACCACAAACTGAATTCCATTCATCTTCTCTTATTTGCAAAAAATAGGGCTGCATGATTTTTTTAAAACAGTGTTTGAAGTAAACACTGTTTACTGTCTGTCTTCTTTTGCTGTTCTCTATAGTGTTTATTTCCTGTCTGTCTTCTTCTGTTGATTTCTCCTACATCCAGCGCTCTGTCTCTTGACCTCTTTCATTCTCTTGCGCTCTTTTTCTTTTCTTTTCTGGTGACAGTTTAGCTATCATGAATCCAAAGTTTTGTGCTGATGGAGAAAAGTAATGTGGTCTGTTAACAACAAAAACCGCCTCTCCCATGTAATGAATAATTATGATGTGATTTTTAAAGAGGAACTGTATCGGTTATAGAATACGATTTGTAGGCTGTTATATCTTTGAAGCTCCACAATATTTCCTTCAAAAATGTTTTTCTATAAATATTGAACCTTTAACAAATGCTTTGCTTCCTCCCATTTGAATATTTAACTATTCAATTTCCATTAAAAAACAATGAATTGGGCTGCCCTGGCAAAAACCTAAAATACAGATATCACACAACTTTAATGAATACAAATCCTAGATTAACACAAGTTAAATATATTTTTGTAATTTGTTTGATTTAACCCTGTAAAACACCACCTGAGGATTATGTGGAGGTGTGTGTTACTGGATGGTAACTCGAGCTTTAAAGCGTTGCTCCAGATCTCTGTTTCATCCTGTCATAATTAATGCAGGAGTTTATGCAAGACCGATCAGGAAGCAGCAATTAAACACAAGTATGCATGACGGGTATGACAGGAGCAACGATTGACGCGTGCCGAAACGCACGCCTTCACACACCCTTATATGTACATAACACCTGAACTGTTTGTGCCTACATTGGACATGCATATAGACATGAACTTTTTTTTTTTCATATAGAGGTATCTTCACTCATATTGTATATATGTCAACTCAACTACTCCAGGTTATGACTACTCCTATTTGTATTCATACAATTATATCATTTGTATTCTTATTATGTCCACTCTTAGGATCTTATCTTATCTTAACTTATCTTTTCACCACTAAGCACTGCATTTTAAAGGCACATTATACAATTTTATCATCCAAAAACCACATGTAGAATGCCTTGGTTGGTGATTGGCTAATGGTTACACAAGCCAAAAAATCGTTATGACATCATAAAGTGGCCAAAATCTGACCAGCTCATTTTCAGACAGGTTTTTATATAAATGGATAAGGACAAAAGGTGAGTGAATCTTTTTCCTGACACTTTCAGAATCTCTTTACACAGACGGGACACATATTTATGTATAAAAGACATGAAAAAGTGGATTTTGCATAATACAGTAGGTGACCTTTAACTGAGGTGTTAAAAAAACTCAGCTGCTAACAGATAATAATGCTATGAAACAAGCTAAGTGAGCTAAATGAAGCCACACTACAAGCCACGTAGGTTTTACTCTTTATTTCAACACCAACAGTCATGTGTAGTTTTGTTAGCGTCACGATGTAGCCACAGAGCATCTGAACACTCTGCTGTAGCTTCAGAGTTGCTGATTTGGAGCCATTTAGCTGAATTTCATGTACGTAGAGGCCCAAACTCTCCCTGAACAAGCTACATAAATTAGCTATGAGCTAGTATTTGGCTAAAGCTAACAGCTAAAGCCACAGAAACAGTATCATCAGTCTCTTCTATGTTATTCATTCATTTACAGTTGGACAAACATGTACGATTCATATCAATGCAGTCAGACAAACATACAGAGGGATTTAACTGAAGGATGATCTTAAAATAATTTATTGTGGTAGCTTTTGTGTTGTTTTCTGTTGCAGTTCCTGGAAAAGTTAATAAGGAAGGACAGCTAACGCAGCAACTTTTTCCAGGATGTAGAAAGTGAACGGAGGCTTAAAATAGTTCTTCTTAATGTCACAGTGTTCAGAGATACAGAGGCTTTGGTCTGACTAAATGGGGTCATTTCTCCCAAAAAGCATCTTAAAATTAAATCTTACAGGTGTTTGTACTCACAGATTGACTTAGATAAAACAAGGTAACATTATTGAGGATCATAATGCCTCATGAAGGAAGTAAAGTATGACAAATTGCTGCTTCTAATTTAAATGTTATGTCGTTTTTGGACTTCTTGGCTTTCCATAGGTTGTTCCATACATTTGTTAAATAGACAGATAAGACTAAACTGTAGCGATCGAATGTACAGTCTCACATTTGTATTCCTGGTGTTTGTTATTTTACAGATTAATTTATGTAAACCGTCCTTTAGGGAAATAACTCCTTGTATTAACATTGTTTGCTCCTTGATTATGGTTAAGTAAGATGCTTTTCAGGGAAACAAGCCACCATCAGAATGTTGGTGTACTCAGCGTGTGAAAGCTGTTGTATAATAAATTAAATCCTCAGTTATCTAATGTTCACCTAAAGCCATGACTTCAGATGTATAATCTTTAACAGAAAGCCAGATTTACAAGTGAAATGTGTGAATTATTTGCATTATGGGTGCATTTTCAGTGTTTTTGGAGCTTGATCCATATTACGAACTAACATTTAGGCTGTCTGCTTGAATTTCATTCATTATTTTTTGTGTTTTGTAAGTCTCTCACCTCTATGGAAGTAAAATACTATATTACTGGACTACATCTTTTAAGAAGCGCACATTTGTTTTTACTCTGAACTTATATCTTTATGAATGTTCTGTGGACTTTTCCCCCCCCCCCTTAATTCCCAACAGTTCAGGACCTTCTTAGTTGGTCCAAATGAGAAAATGTGCACAAAACAATTTTGCCCAATAAAGTGATGTATATGTTTTCAGTCTTTTAGAATTGTGTCTTCCTTGGGTCTATAATTATTCAAACTTGATCAATAAATCAGTCTTTGCTTGCTTGAAATGCTCACAGCTCTAGAAATGCTTAACTTTGTAAGATGATTTTGAATTATTTTAAAGGGACACAAGCCAAAAAGATTTAGAACCACTGCTTTTAACAACAATGAAACAGCCGCTAGAAAAGAAATAAGATAATCCTATCTATGATAGTTGACTCGTTCAGGACAGAGTGTCGCAGATTACTCATGTCTATTGTTAAATAAATATAACTTTTTGTGCTTTAAAGACAGACACTTTTAATACGGTGATCAATATCAATCAATCTACTCTGCTTAGCCAGCTGGACAGGGATCACTGTTTCAACACCAATTCACAAAGTCTGCAGTTTTCATTCCCAAAATTCTGATACAATTTAGCATAGTAGTTAGGTAAGACTTTACCTTGCCATTGATTTTTTGTACATTTCAATGTTGTTTTGAACAGGCTGAGGTGAACTGACATTAATTGTGCTTTTGTTTGATCGAAAGAGCATTTTGGAGTTGACCTACCAGTACTTCTCTGTGCTTTAAGCTACAATTACTTATGACCTTTTAAAGGAAACCTGTACTTACAGAGTGTAACACTCAGTCTCCCCCTTTTAGCGGCTTCAGCAAAAAGTGTCCTGACATAAGCAAGCTGTTATTAACTCTTTGTGAACCTGTGTCGAGTTTACTTTGAAGTAGGCCTACATTTCTCGATGAAGACTACAGATTATCAGTGGTTTATTATAATACTCCTATGGGCTATTTGTCTTACTCTGTTGACTCTCCTCATGGAGGTCAGCTATGGAGCAGCATGGCCGTATTTCCCCTCTCTACTCATGCTGTCCCCACAAGCTTACTGTGCAACTACTTTTAGGAATTATTGCTGTAGAATGATCTGTGTTGAGGTGCATTTTCGGAAACATCTCCCAAAAAAAGTGGTGCAGGAATGAGTCCTAAACCCTGAAATACGTTTTTGCAATATTGCCCACCCTCGTCTTGAAGTAAAAAAATTTTAATGAAGCTTTTACATGTCTTAAGAAAAGTGGCTAAATGAGACTACTAGCCTACATGTCAACATGCCAAACGTTAGCTTAACTTAGTTTATAAATGGCCTAACGTTAGCTTTTTACTTCTGCCGTTTGCATTTACTTCAACTATCAACATGGTGTTAATATGTGGAGATTATCCTGCTGAACAAAACGTGTACATTTCATGAATGTGTGCTTGCCACATATCTTATTTTCTTCAATATTCTATCCAATATCCAATGGAAAATGCCCATTGTTTTTTATTGTAGGAGCCCTTGCGATGCTAACTTCCGGGATAGATTACAAAAACACGTCATTCACTGCACCACTCTATAGCCAACACTGATTCTCTGCCCCTGAGTTTAGTCCAACATGCTTCACAAAGTCTATACCAGTGACTCGCACACAGGGGGGTTGTCAGAGTCCTGGCTGTGCATGGAGCTCAAGCCTGTGTCCGAGTCCTCGTCGTTGGTGTGGCAGGTCTTGGAGAGACCTCTGGCCTGCTCCACCCAGACGCTGCTCTTCTCCTCTGGGGGCTCAGCTTCAATGCTCACTGGCCCCAGCTCTGCCTCACCATCCTCAGTCACCTGCTCTATCTCTATGGTCTCAACTTTAGCCAGTAGGTCCAGAAGTTCACTCTCCCTGGTCTCCCAGAGCGCCAAACTCAGGTCCAAGTCCCCCCTGATGGAGTCCAGGTCTGTCTTCAACCGCAGCCCGATGTACAAGCTGGTGTCCAGCTGCGTTTTAATCCTCTCCTCCTCCAACACAAACTCATTCTCAGACGAACTATCCACATCTGCCTCCACAGCTGGAGAGGCATTCAGGCTCATCTCCTCCGCGAGGCTGTCCGTGTCCTTCGCCGCTTCCGCTCCTATCTCCTCCCGACGCCGCTTCATCCACCGCCTGTTGAGCTCCTCCTGGATCTCCCCGGTGATGCACTCCACCAGCGCCTCCCGCTCCGTCACCTCCTCCTGCAGCCGCACAACCTCCTCGCACCGCAGCGCATACTCCTCGAACTGCGCCACCGCCTCCTCCGTGCATCGCGCGTCCTGCCGCTCCGCTTTGAGTTTACAGTCCGAGGCGGCAGGGTCCTCCGAGGAGGCGTCCACCATGTATGTGTCCTGCACATAGTTCACCCCATGTCTCTTGATGCGCTCGAAGTGCACTTTGGCCTCGTACCGCTCGATCTCCCGGTCCAGCTCCTTGATCCTTTGGACCTGCTGCCGGATGGTGTGGTCCTGGGAGATCACCAGGTGAACCAGCGTCTCCATCTTCTCCACCGAGCCCTTATCTTTGGGGACAGTCTGATCCTTCTTTTTGTTCATCTTGTCCAACTTCCTGAAAGCCTTCCTGACTATGCGCCTCTGCTTGTCCTGGGACAGGTTGGCCGCGGTGGCCGCAGCGGTCCAGCAGGTCTTGGCGGTGCCCTTCAGCCCCCCGCCCGGACCGCCGCTCTCCCGGCTCTGGACCACACGGGCCTCAGCGCTGCGGGGTCCATTATTAGGTAGCGAAGCCTCGTTCTTCACCAGGACAAATCGGACATTCTCCTGCTCTTCCCCCCACGCGCCATACAGCCGGAGGATTTTGGTCTTGTTGGGTAAAATCCTCTCGAAGCCTCTCCATTTCTCCACCACGCAGTAGGACTGCGGGGCTCCGGACAGCATCGCGGCCGCGGCCCCCTGCTGCAGGTTCTGGTCATCCAGCAGGACTCTGACCACATCTGCGCAAGTGGTGCGCTTCGTCAGCCCGGAGACGAGCTTCTCCTCCCGGCAGACCCACACTGAGAGCTTTCCCTCCTCCGGCTCCATCTCCAACTCAAAAAAGTTTAAACAAAGTGTCCAAAAGTCTTAGTGTTTTTGTCAAAAAGTAAAAGAGATAAAAGTAGTCCTTAGAGTTCTCAATACATTTGAATGAATCTATCAAAAGTATGGAAACTGATGAAATCCTCAACGCTCCCGTCAGCTCTCACTTAAATACGCTCAGTCCGAACAGATGACCTTGTTACGGCTAAAAGTCCTGAGTTTTTCTCAGTAAAAAAATAACATTGAAGTTACCATGTCCTGCCGGGACATGGTGGCTCTCTCCCCGGCAGATTGATCTCTGCGCGCGGCTCCGGAGAGGAGAGGAGCGTCCGTGCGTCAGGACCGACTGCTCTGTGTGCGGGACAGAGCAGAGCTGAGCTGAGCCCGGGACACACCCCCTGCCTCTCACCCCCTCCCACTTTCACATAAACACACACACACACACACACACACACACACACACACACACACACACACACACACACACACACACACACGCACACACACACACACACACACACGCACACACACACACACACACACACACTCACACACACACACACACACACACACACACACACACACACACACGCACTGCACACACACAGAGACACACACACTCTTCCAGTGGTGGAAGAATATATTTCACTTAAGTAAAAGTACTTATATCTAGTATTTGAGTGTAATAGAGTACATTTACAATTCAGGCACTTTTACTTTATCTGAGTATTTGCATTGTATTCTACTTCATATTCCTACTTAGCTACTTATTTCAGAAGCCAATATTGTACTTTTTTCTGCAGTACAATTTTCTGACAGCTTCAGGGACTTTATCAATTCAAATTATAAGCAAGAAATATAAATCAGCTCATAAATAACCATTGATATACTGTATATGATAGGTTAAGATAAAGCAGCAGTATATAGTATGGAAAATGAGCTCCATCTGTACCAGCTGTGATCAGTAATGCATCAATAATCAAAATACAGCAATTTAATATGATTCTGAAATGGGCTCTTAACAAGTATACTTTTACTTTTGGTACTTTAAGTATATTTTGATTCCAATACTTTTGTTATTTTACTTCAGTAAGATTTTGATTGCAAGATTTTTAATTGTAACAAGTGTTATACAAAGTAGTATTGCTACTTTTACTTAAGTAAAAGTACTTCTTCCACATTTGGTAAAACCATACTGTAGAAATACTTGTACTAGTCAAAGTCTGGCAAAACGTTACCTATAAGAAAAAAAGTATTGTCATCACAATATACTAGTCCTAATACTAATATACTAGTGCCAAAAGTTAAAATACAAAAGTACTCAGAATAAACATTTTTTGAATAATTATATTAAAAGTATTTAATGAAAAACTGCTGTGTATAACAATATATTTCATTAGTTGTTTTAATTTGTATTAATATTATGAACCTGATAAGTAACTAGAAACTTATGTTGTCAATAATTGTGTAATTACCTTTGTAATAAAATTATGAATTAGCATAACCTGGAAAAACTCTAGTAACCTACAAGTAATTCAAAATTGTACACTACTTGAGTACATTTATTTAGTTATTAGTGCTATATACAGTGTTGAAAGGGGGGAAAGAGGGGATGACATTGCCTGGCATTTTTTCGCAGGCTCGGGAGTTGAACCCATGTACTTAATAATAATAATAATTCCTTATATTTATTATAGCGCTTTTTCCATGACCCAAAGCGCTTTACACATTACACATACATACATGTAACGGTCATGTACTGTGGACAATACCCACAGGAGCAAATTCAGGTGAAGTGTCTTGCCCAAGGACACAACGGCTTTACAGACGCAGCGGCGGGTTTCGCCCCCTTGATCTGATGATCAATGCACAGCCCACTGCGCCACACCGCCCATCTTCACACCTCAAAGTCATCAAGGCGCTTTACAAGTACACATTAGTATCATACATGTACTGTGGACAATACCCACAGGAGCAAATTCGGGTGAAGTGTCTTGCCCAAGGACACAACAGCCTGACGCAGTGGCGGCGGGAGCGGGTTTCGAACTAGAGTTCCCCAACGCCCCCTTGATCTGATGATCAAACGCACAGCCCTATAACCCACCTTTCTTAACACATTTCTGTATTTATAAAATAAATGTATGTATGATTGTTTACAAATCTAACATCCTCAGTTTCCATCTTTTTACAGAATTGAGCACATTATTGTGTTGTTGCAGCAATGCGGATGTATTGTGAAGGTCTTTTTATAATACCTGGCACAAAGTAGAACTAATGAGTCCAGGTTACAAGCCAAGAAGTAGCAGATGAAAGTCTTACTCAGCAGTGTTGCACTGCAGCATGTATTGTTATGCTGTTTCATCTTCATAATCCGCACACGGATGAATGTCTCAGTACGTTATAAAGCTCAGCTGGATTGATCACAAAGCGGAAAGAAATCCATCTGTTACACCCTGCAGGGTTATAATATACTGTCTGTCCCCATAATCTGCTCTTTCAACTATTTCAGGCCAGAATATGGTCTCTGAAACTCATAAAAGGATTAATCTGCATTAAGAGTGTTTTGGTGTTTGTGAGTATTACACTAAAAGCAAGTGTTTATCCCCGCCATTAGTCTGCTCTGACCTTTGCTCCGAGTGATGCACCAGGCCAGGTTTGTTGGTAAAAGAACTGCTTAGAAAACATCTGGGAACACACACTAATGCATGTGTGTGTGAGTGCACGTATAAGACACAAATACACAGTATTAGTCACCACAGCATACATAACAAACACAGTGGATTTGGATAAAGAGGATTGTCAGGGCTGCGTCTGGGAGATAACAGAAGGCTTTTCTAATCTTTGGTCTCATTTCCTATGAGTCATCACGTCTTTCTGACCTGTAGACTTATTATTGGCTGTCAATGGTTTCGTGCTTTCAGTGTTATCGCAATAGAATGGTGCAGTGATGACGTCTTTTAGAAGGCCGAACCGGAAGTTAGCATAGCAAGGGCTCCCTAAAGAAATGGAAAATTGCAATTAAGATCTGTGGGAAACACAAGTTTATGATACAAACAGGTTTCTTTAGCTGGATAATCTCCACATATTAACACCACTTTTATGATGGGTCCACATCACCACCGCTAAGCTAAAGGCGGCTAATGTTTGGTGTGATGATGTTTAGACGTCTCGCTTTAGACGCTCACTAGTGGTGTATCAACTAACTTATTTTATGTTGTAGAACAAAACGTAAAAATCTCTACAGCTTGAGTTACCCACAGACCTTATTTCAGGAATTTAACCAAAAACACGTTCAAAAAACCCTTGAGTTTAAGACGAGGGAACAGGAAGTGGTGAAGTGCTGACCATGCGACCACAAGTGTGACTAATTGAAACATGTAGTTCTTGGTTGGTTGATTTTTTGCCCATTTGTGATATGCAACAGTGATATCATAAATATACACACATATGCAGTAATACTTGCATTAATCAATGAATATATAATAATATATTTTAACGATTTATATTTTTTGTTGCAAATGTGTACATATATGTGATACTTTATATTTATTTTACAATGAGAATAAATAAAGAGCTTTTGTAAAACTGTTTGTTGAATTCTTGGAGAATGGCTCCCTCTGGTGTTCAAATAAAACATAATTTGAATTATACGTTCACAAAGAAGCATTGTATAAATAAAGCAAATAATTCAGCAATACCTTTGTCAATCTGTGTAAACTATACATTTCAACACATATGATTTGTAAGTGGGAGAGGAAACAAAAAATCCAAAAGGTCTGTATATACCTTTCTGTCATATCACAACAAACAACAACATATTATGAGTAGGCTATGTCAAAAAACGTCATAATATAGTAGGCTATGTCGAAGGGATCAGAAAAAACGATGTATTATACCTTACAGCTGCATTGCTCCCAGACTGTGCAACTCCCCCCACACATCAGACACAATCAGATCATTCAAATCCCACCACAAAACTCACCTGTTTAGATTAGCCAACTCACTCTATTTCATCATTTATTTAAGTACTATGTTCCTCAATACCTTTTTCCTTTTTAATACTATACAACGTAGTATATAGTATGTCGAAAATAAGAAAAAAAGCTACATAAAATGTCGAACATATGATAAAAAACGACATGGGCCCTTTCTCATTTCTCTAATTCCCCTCCTCGACTCCTATCCTCGTGTCTTAGTCCCGCCCACAGGAGATGCGAGCGGAGGAGTCGAGGAGGGGAACCGAGGAGAGAGGAGTGGAAGCAGCAGGCGTTTAGAGAAATGAGAACTCCTCTCCTCTGAGCGGTCATTTTAAAGAGACGTCCATTAATGATGACAGGAGGCACAGCAGCCCTCTGTCTGATGGACAGATGTGTTCATGACCACTTATATATTTACTTTTAATTCATTGACAGTGCGGTATAATGAGACAATAACAGGCTACAGATGCGGACATATACACACACACACACACACACACACACACATACACACACACACACACACACACACACACACACACACACACACACACACACACACACACACACATACATATATATTTATATATATATTTATATAAATATATACAATTTCAGATTCAAACAAGTATGAGAGCACTCTCATAATAACGTAACACTATCAGAGACTGGATATATCCCCCCCCCTCTCTGGTCACTACAATGAGGAAATGAAATTACGGGCCAAAAGTTTTATTTACAAGTATTAAAAGTAAGCAGAGGACACCAAACCAACTGAGACCTGTCTGTCCGCTGCATCTACGCACACACACACTGTACCACACGCACCTACACACTGTACCACACGCACCTACACACTGTACCACACGCACCTACACACTGTACAACACGCACCTACAGCTCCTAAAGCATATCATATATCAGGATACAGCCGTTGTGTATTTTATTATGTGAAGCACTAAATGGTTTTAGACAAATATCGATTCTTTGTTTGTTGATATCAAAGCATACAAATAAAGAGAGTAATGTAGGCCTTTTGTCAGGGCAGGCCCTGACCAATTTGCTGCCCTAGGCAAGATCTTAGCTGGTGCCCCCCCCCCCAAATGCAGACACTCACTATGACTTGCGCATGCATTCACGTGCACGGTTGTGGCATGATCACCAAAACAGAAAGATATGGACACAAGATGTGTGCAAATGTATTTAGTATCCTATCCATTTGAACATGATTTAAGTGGGGGGTGGACTTAACCTCCTCTAGGGGGGTCCGGGGGCATGTTCCCCCGGGAAGATTTTTTTATTTTTATATTGAAGTTAAAAGCATCAATCTGGTGCACTTTGAGAGCAAAATGAAGAGATC